TTAACAAGTAATTCTGAGCTTGTGGTTGGCTGACATGATTTGGGCTTGCAGTTTGGGGCTCTTACACTGAAGGGAAAATTTGGAAGCTCCTGCCAGGATGTGGATTTGGAGGGGTCGTTTCAGAGAATTCCAAGTGCTGGATAAAACAAGATAGAATTTTGTTCTTATTAATTTTCACTTACTTACATGCACATTCATTTTATTTTTATTTATGTTTTGAGACAGGGTCTCCCTATGTAGCCCAGGTAGTACTTGAACTTATGATCCTCCTGCCTCAGCCTCCCAAGTGCTAGTATGACAGGCATGCACCATCATACCTAGCTGTATGTTTACTTTTTAAGTTTTAATTTCTAGAAACTGTCAGCTTCCTTAATTGGGGAAAATGTAGTGTTTATAACTGGAGTTTGAGGAAGTGAGAGGAAGGGACTCTACACTTTCTGGTAAATTTGTAAAGGAGTTTAAGCGGACCAGTGGACTTGATCATTTAATCTTCCTGTCTCCAAGGAGGCGTTGTAAATGGCCAGATAGTAAATATTTAAACCTGTAATGACCCTATGTGTAGATTTCTCTGTTTTTAACTGTTCAGTTCTGTCTTGTAGCTGTGCCAGTAAAACTTTTATGTACAAAGAAATGCCAGATATGGCCCATGCTTACTCTCAACTTAGAGATAGTCTTAGGATGGGGTAGAACTGGCAAGAAATCTAGTTACCAAGTCCCTCACAAACTTGGTGCTTTGTGGGTGTGCTCTGATCTGTTGCAGTGACTTTTGAACTTCCTGCTAAGCAGTGGCTCTCTTAGGTGGGGCGGTTCCTGTTGAGAAGGGTCAGAGGTGTGGTCCCACCATTGTTTGGAATAACTATTCTTTTCTTTTTTTTTTTTTTTTTTTTTTTTGCCATGCTGGGGTTTGAACTCAGGGCCTTGCTCTTGCCAGGCAGGTACTGTACCACTTGAACCACTCCACCCACCCTTTTGTATGCTTTTTCTTCCTTCTTTTAAAAGTGCTGGGAATCTAACCCAGGTCCTTGCACATGTTGAACACACACTCTTCCACTGAGTACACCCCCCCAGCCTGTTTCTGATCTCTAAAAAATTTTTTCTTGTAAGCAAGCAATAATTTCACCTAGTAGATTGAGACTTTTAAAGTGAATTGAAGCCAGTCAGTGAGAATCTGCAGTTTCGTGACTTTTTTGATTTATCAAAACCTTCACTTCGGGGAAGTGAGTTTCACAGTCTCGCTGTTTAGGTTGGTCATTTTTCAGTAGCTTGGATGCTCATAATCAAACATGAGACAAAACATTTTGAAGCCTAAAGTGAATATTACCTTAATATATGTTTTTGATGCAATATGTTCACTTTGTCTTACTTTCAGTTCGCAGAAATTCTAAAGTAAGTGAAAGGTGAGTGTTTGAAGAATGGCTCTGCATACTGCCCTCAGTCCTCATCAGTCTTGGTCACTTCTCTTCAGATCTGTCCCTCATCATTCAGCAGTCAGGAGCCAGTGATGAAGGAAGAGCCTTCCAGTCCTTTGCCATCCTTCCTCATGGCTACTTTCTTTCCTGGGCAGCTCTGCATCCATCAGGAGCCTGGGGTACCCCTACCTTTGCCGTCTAGACACCTGCACACCTGCTTGGGCAGCCAGGTGCTGGGTCACCATAAGGAGCTTCCTCACACTGCTCTTTTTGACAGGGATGTGGTCTGGGGCATCTGCTGCTGCAGTAGTTTCTGGCAGTCAGCCCCTCGTGGTTGTCAGCGCTTCTGTGAACAACAGCATCAATGGAGGAGAGCAGAGGGCCAGTGCTATACTGTAGAATAGTTGTGGGAAGAAAACATTCACCACCTTATCCCTATAAAAGTGGGAAAAAGATCGAGTCTGGAAATGGTCTGTTCTTGGTCTTCCCATCCCTAATAATAATAGTAGCAGTCACCATGTATTAAGCAGTTTCTACATGCTAGTTGTAGTTCTCTAAGCCCTTCTGTGAGGGGGTCAGTGAGGCACAGGTGGGTCCTATGGCTCCTGAAAGGCATGGGGGAACAGGGTCACACATGGCAGTCAGGTTTTAGTTTGTTCTCCTAAGGCTGCTCTCAGTTGTTTGGTGCTAGCACAGCACCTGACTCTTGGGAGTTCTCAATGAACTTTTTTATTGTCTTCTTAAGGGAGGAGGATATTGAGTGGTCATCCATTCACTTCACTTGAGGTGAGAATCAAGTCTGTTTTCTGCTTTCATCCACCCATGTGTCTGCTGGAATAACAAAAGATCTCACAAACATCCCACCTGAAAGTATAATGTTAGGGAATTTAGTATATGATAGAGGTAGCTAGGCACTACCTAAGCACTAGGTAAAAATGGATTATTCAATAAAGGGTGGCTAGCCATTAGAGGGGGAACATGCTGTATTTTTTCGTATTTCCTTAACTCATTATCAAAAAGGAATTCCAAATGGATGAACAGTTTCCTTTTTTGTGATGCTGGAAATTGAACACAGGAGCTCATTTATGCTAGGCAAGTTTCTTCATCCTGAGCTGCTTCCCCAGCCCTGGAAGGACAATTTAAATGTAAATGTGAACTCTTAGGGCTGGCCCTCCATATCCTCAGATTTTGTATCAGAGGAGTCTATAGGCTGCAAGATGAAAAAATGTTTGAAAAAAAAATCTGCGGTGAAATGTATGAATGCTCACAGGAAGTGGGGGAAACGATAAAGATTATAAGTAGCTTCAGGTGTGTTCTGATCAGACCTTGATCAGGGTTTGGGTCAGGTGTCATTGTTGGAAGCGTTTTAAAAAATCTCAGCGTTGTGGATAAGGGACTGTTCATGTAAATTAGAGTTAGATTTGTCAGGGTGTCTATGGCATGTTGTTGGAAATAAACCTGGAAAGACCCTGACTGTTCCTGTATGACTACGTGGGGGTGCTTTGTTGTCGATTCAACTGGATGGTTTATTAGGTCCCTCACTAGCAGCTGACTAAGAAGGAAGCTGCCTTTTTTTTTTTTTGTGGTACTGGGATTTGAACTCAGGCCTCCACCTTGATCCACTCTACCCAGCCCATTCTTGTGAAGGGTTTTTTCAAGATAGGGTCTCATCAACTACTTGCCCAGGCTGGCTTTGAACCTCAATCCTCCTGGTCTCTGTCTCCTGAGGATTACAGGTATGAGCTACTAGTGCCCAGCTTAGAAGCTGCCTTTTGATGTTACCTTAAGACTATATGATGACAGTCAGCTCTGTGTATCTCTTACAGGTTAGTTTGTGGTGGCCTCTCCTCCTCTTCTTCCTCTCCTACCCCTTCCTCCCCCCTTCTATCCCTTCCTTCTCTCTTCTTTCCTTCCTACTACTTCCTTTTCCTCCTCTTCTCCATTTTTTTGGGTAGTACTGGGGTTTGAACTTTGTCTTGCTCTTGCTATGAGCCACTCCACTAGCCTTTTTTTGTGTTGGGTATTTTTGAGATAGGATCTCATGAACTATTTGCCCTGGCTAACCTTGAACTGAGAGCCTCCTAACCTGCTGCTAGGAGTAGCTAGGATTATAGGTCTTAGCTACTGGTACCTGGCTCCTCTCCTTTTTTCTTTTCCTCTCCTTCCTCTTCCCTCCTCTTCCTTCTTCTTTCTCCTTTTCTTTCTCCTCCTCTTACTTATTTATTTATTTGTTTATTTATTTTGGTGGTACTGGGGTTTGTGCTCTATCAGTTGAGCCACTCCCTAGTCCTTTCTGCTTTAGTTATTTTTTCAGATAGGGTCTTGTAGGTTTTCTTTTTAGTTTTTTTTTTGTCCTGGCCAGCCTCAGACTACGATCCTCCTACCTATACCTCCTGAGTAGCTGGGATTACAAATATAAGCCACTGTGCCCAGCTTCTCCCCCTCTTTGTCTTCTCCTTTTTTTTCTTCCTCCCTCTTTTTTCTCTTCTATCTCCTTCCTTTCCTCCTTTTTCTTTTCTCCTCTTTCTTGTCTTCCACCCTTTCTTCTTCTCCATTGCTGGCCACACCTGACACAGAAGATGCTCTGTTTTCAGATCCCTAATAGCATTGTGGCTCCCCTTATTCTGATAAGGTTCTCTAGAATCTGGCTCAGCAAAAATCATTTGGAAAAGTCAACTTTCCTTGTTCTTGGTGACCAGTGGTGGCATCTAGCTGGATCTGGTTTTGCGTTGAAGTCAGTGGATAAAACTGACAGCCCCTTTCCTCTAAGCCTTACTTCTGTGCTCTCCAGCTTGCACTGATGCTGTTTTTGCTAACACTGCTGTGAGGCACACCATGCTGCAGTTGCACAGACATAGCCTCTGAAGTTAGAAATGATGTATGAAGGACAAGGTGTCTTGTTTGACACAGAATCCTGAAATAGAACTTGGTCCCAACCTCCCACCCTGTCTTTAGCCCAACCACCCATCTCTTGTCCCATATCATGAAGGAGACATTTCTGCCACCCAGACCTTGACTGAGCAGTGACATTGGTCATGACATCCAGCCTGGGTTTTCTGCTTTGCTCCAGAATCCTTTTAAGAAGGCACCATTAGAAATCCTGTCAAAGGGTAAAAAACCTCAAAAGCTCCCTCATTAGGAAGATACAAAAGCGACTCTGGGGAGAAATGTATTTTTTCTAACATGGTACGGAAGCACTTAGTATTTCCCATTGTTGTTTACAGAAGTGATTAATTTAATCCTCAAACTATTATGGATAAGTGAGTAGTACAATTAAACTCATTTGATAGACCAGGAAATCTGAAGAGAGAAATGGTGCTTTGCCTAAGGTCTGCAGCTAGTCTGGGTTCCCAGGCTGATACCCACCTGTGAACCTGTGCTGGGGAGCCAGCCACAGCTCCCAGCACACAGATTTGAGGCCATGGCTGCTGCCCAAACAACACACTCTTCATAAGCAGCTTATGTGTCAAGGAGCATGCATGAGCCCCTGCTTCCTGGAAGGATACCTTCCTGTGGTGAGGATGGATGAGGGCCCGCTTTGGAAATAGCAATGCTAGTAAGCAGGCTTATTTACTTTTCTTTGTTTGGCAGATTCTCAGCCCCGATTTTGAGATGATGGGATTGGGAAACGGGCGTCGCAGCATGAAGTCTCCGCCCCTTGTACTGGCTGCCCTGGTGGCCTGCATCATTGTCTTGGGCTTCAACTACTGGATTGCCAGCTCTCGGAGTGTGGAACTCCAGGTATCGTGTGTGTGTGTGTGTGTGTGTGTGTGTGTGTGTGTGTGTGTGTGTAGATGCCATCAAGTGTTTAAAGTTGCTGGGTGACTGACCCAGGGGCTTCTTTGTTGTCACCTAAGGCATTGGGCTTAGTGCACATGTTGTAGTGGGAGTTTAGTGCCCTGTGTACCCCTCATCCCAACCTCCACCCCGGCTCTGGGCCCAACTCCCCAGAGCTGCTTCCTCTGCAGCTGTTCAGTATTGCTGCCAAAACTTCCTCTCTGCTTCTCATTTGAGCATCTGGGGACTGGGAAGATACCTTACAGAGGTACACTGGACACAGGTCATTCCCCCGTCCTTAGTCCACAGGAGAACCCAAAGAGCAGAGTTGGCAGTGTGTTGGAGTGGTGTAGGAAGTGGTTTTTTTTCTTTTTGCAGTACTGGGGTTTGAACTCAGGGCCTCAAGTGGTAGGAGCTACCACTTGAGCCACACCTCCAGTCCAGGAAGTGTGTTTTAGAGGAATCAGTCTTTATCATCATTATTTCACGACAATTATTTCAGGTTTTCCACATGTTGTGACCAGTCCTGGGTCAGAACAGTGCCGAGCAATGACAAAGACTCTCCCTAAGCAGACTTAGGCCCCTTTAAGCCTTCTGCTCCACTAGGCCTTGGTCTACACCCCACCCCCACGCCCACCCCTGTCTTTGGTCTGCCCTGTCCAGTCTTAGCAGAGAACCTGTCTTTTTCTCAGTTTGCCTGTAGCAAGCATCTTATTAAAACCAATTTAGCAAGAATCCCCTGCCTGAGCTTGATGTGTTCTTGGCAGTTTCTCACCCCTTTGCTCTGCTTGTTGTGGGGTGCAGGCCTCCAGTGAGCTTCATTTGAGGGAGCTTGGTTGGTCTTGTCTCTGGGATATTTGCCCTTGGCCCTCACACTGTGGTCTCCTCGTAGACACGAATTGTGGAGCTGGAAAGCAAGGTCCACAGGGCGGCTGCGGAGAGAGGTGCTGTGGAGCTGAAAAAGAATGAATTCCAGGGTGAGCTGGAGAAGCAACGAGAGCAGCTGGACAAAATCCAGTCTAGCCACAGCTTCCAGCTGGAGAGTGTCAACAGGTTGCACCAGGACGAGAAGGCAAGGCCTGCTTTGTTTCCTTCACCATTCTCTTCTGAGCCTCACTTTCTACCTGGTCAAATTCTGGGTGTAGAACATGTAATTAGATGGTCTCTTAGTCAAGTTGTCCCTGCTCCCCCATCCTCTGGTCTACCTCTAAGTCCCCCCTGGACCTGTGAAACCTTTGCAGGGGTGATAGTGTGGAAAATTCAGAAGAACCAAGGTAGCAGGCCTGGACTTTTTCTCCTGTGTTCTTTTTTTCCTTATCTTCTTATCACTTGCTATGCCAGGTGCTTCTTTCTCACAAGGATTAATGCTTATGGCTTCAAATATCACATGCATGGGAGGAGATGCAAATCTCTAGATAAATATTAACAGGAAAGTAGGGGACTCAGAGCATTGGCTTTTTTTTTTCCCCCTGGTGACAATGTCTCACTATGTAGCTAAGTCAGGCCTTCAACTCACAGTCTCCATATCTGAACCTGCCAGTTAGCAGAGATTACAGATGTGTGCCACTGTGCACAACTTAAGTATTTTTTTTAAGTTTAAAAATTCTAAATATTAGATCTTTCTATTTAAGCTTTACATGTCTTACTTTTTCTGAGATTGAACGTTCTTGTTTATCAAATTACACAACAGTGCAAATAACTACTGTCTTGTACTATAAAGTACATCAAAGTCATTGCTGTTTTACTACCCAGAATGGCTTGGCTTTTACTAATATATATGCTCTCCCTGGGATTGGTTGATTCATTGGAAAGAGGTTGTATTCACTATTTCAAAGGTGGACTTAGTTTTAGTATGAACTAGTGCCCAGCATTTCACCTGGAAATGAATTGTTTCTAGGTAGCACCTCATATTTTTCTTTCCTAACTGATTTAATGCAAGAAGTACTTTCTTTCCTTTTTTTTTTTCATAAGGCAGAGGTTTGAACTCAGGGCAAATCCCCTACAGTTGAAAATGATAGGACCTAGATATTTCTCCCAGTGTGTGTAAACAGACAGAATCCCTTAACACATATTACTTGGAGGAAATAGTTTATTTGTCAATTCAGACTCAGAAACTGTGAAAGTCAAAGGACCTTTTGGGAGGCAGAGGTTTAGGTAGCTCCAAATCATTGTTCCAAGGAAGGCAGGGAAAAGGGGAACCTATATATAGGGTATTGGATGTTGAGAAGGAATAGGGGCTATGTGACTGATAGGAGATAAAGAGAAGAATGTGTAAACAGGGTTACGAGTGTAGCACAGTGGTAGGCCATTTGCATGGCATGCGTGAGAAAATGTCCATGAAGTGGGAGTGTGGTAACCTATATACATCCTGAGCCTCTGGGCACAATGTATTTGTCCGGGCAGTCATGGGTTATTCTTGTCATAAACATTGACATTTTAAACTCTTAGGTCATAAAAAATTAGCTACCATTTGTTGCCCTCAACACGGAGAAACTAAAGCAGATACCTGAAAAGCAACTGAGGCCAATAGGAGAAGGGGACCAGGAACTAGAGAAAAGGTTAGATCAAAAAGAATTAACCTTAGAAGGTAACACACATGCATAGGAATCAATGCTAGTCAACTCCCTGTATAGCTATCCTTATCTCAACCAGCAAAACCCCTTGTTCCTTCCTATTATTGCTTATACTCTCTCTTCAACAAAATTAGAGATAAGTACAAAATAGTTTCTGCCGGGTATCGAGGGGGTGGGGGTGGAGAGGGAGGGGCGGAGTGGGTGGTAAGGGAGGGAGTGGGGGCAGGGGGGAGAAATGACCCAAGTATTGTATGCACATATGAATAAAAAAAAAAACTCTTACAGATCAGATTTTTTTCTGGTACTGGGATTTGAACTCAGGCCTTCAAGCTTGCTAGGCAGACACTTTGTCCCTTGAGCCATACCTCCAGCCCATTTGGGTTATTCTTGAAGCCTGTACTCAGAGGGTGAAGGTGACCAGAGTTCTCCCAGCTCTGTTTTGAAAGCATCTTTTAATGTTGCTTTCATTGTAATTTTCCTTATTTTCACAATTCTCAGGGAATAGAGTTTGCAGGAATTCCACCTGGGATTTTCTTAGGCAGTGGATATGAAGCAGATGCCAGTAAAGAAAATCCAATAGGATTTTTTTTAAACGATCAGTGACCTTTTTATAATAATGTGTGAAATTAATCCATGAGAGCTGAAAATTGCTATTTCTTTGATGTTATCTGGTCACAACCATCATTATAGCCTACATATTAAATGGATAGTACCAAAAAAAGAAACAAGAAGCAGATGCCAGGTGTGACCAGCAGGATTTCTCCCTGAGGTCTGGGCTGAGATAGGCCTCAGGCTAGGCAAGGCAAGGGAGAGAGGATCATCTGAGCTAGTTCAGAGGTGCAGAAGTGGCTGTGTTGTGGTCAGGAACCATCTGTTGGAAGTGAGAGAAATAAAGGCAAATGTGCGCACATCTGTCTCCCCACCTCCTCACCCCTGTGCATATGTGTGCCATTACTTCAAAGTTCATCTTTTTTTTCTTAGAATTGCCTTTTGGGGCTGAGGATGTGGCTTAGTGGTAGAATGCTTACCTGTCATGTGCAAGGCCTTCTGTTCATTCCCAGCACTGCAAAAATGAAATGAAATAATAAAATAAACCTGTTTAACTGAAATGAGAGGTAATATCTGCCAGGCAGAAACCAGCAATTTCTCTGATTCTTTTTTTTTTTTTTTTTTTTTGCAGTATTGGCACTTAAACTTGGTGATTCGTGCTTGCCAGGCATACACTCTGCCACTTAAACCACACCCTAGTTCCTCTCTTCCACTCTTCGGTTTAGGTTTTATTGGCTTCCTTTTAAAAAGGAGGCATATGTGTAAAAATGATTTGAGGATCCACTGGGAGGGGGCAGCTCTAGTAGTCACAATAAATAAACTTAAGGTCAGTAGTTTTGAAAAGCTAGGTGCCACAGATGACAAGGTAAAGATACCCATTTCAAATAGCTATTTGAAAGGGAGTCTGTTTTCATCAAGAATTTTATACTTTTAGAGTATGTGATATAAAGTTCTTTTCATTTGGGTATCAAGAGTGGGTCCTTCCTTACATCTTAGCTACAGGAAGATTGTGGTGTTAAAGAAGGCACAGGACTTCCAAGACAGGCAGTTCAGGGTACGGAGTTTCTTAAGCTGCCTGATTTTAGGCAAGTCACTTCAATTCTGTGGACCTATTTTCTCAGCTGTCTAGTGAAAATAACAGAACCCCTCTTACAGAGTGCATGTGAGGATTCAATAAGATACTTGCAAAGGGTTTAGCACAGTGCTTGATGTGGAGTAAAAGCTCAAACTAGTAGCTAGTCAAATTATCACAGTCAATTGTGCTGATTACTAGCAGCAGCAGTAGTAACAAGCACTAGCAGTGGAGGTAGGAGTCAGTCAGTTTATAAGTCAGAGTGGCTTATAAATAACAGAAATTTACTTCTCACAGTTTCGTAGACTGGGATGTCCAAGATAAGACAACTGTACATTTGGTATCTGGTGAGGGCCCACTTCCTGGTTCATAGATGTCACCTTTTTGTTGTGTCTTCACATGGTGGAAGGAGACAGTGCAGCTTTCTGGGGTCTGTTTTGTATGAGCACTAACCCTGTTCATGAGGGCTGTACCTTCATGACCTAATTTTCTCCTAAAGATCCCACCTCCTAATCACCTTGGTGATACTGGCTTTGTATTGGTCAACTCCCCATAACAAATATCCAGGTAATCAATTTATAAAGAGAAAAGGGTTATTTTGGCTCTCATCTGTGATTGGTTGACCCTCTTGCTTTTGGATATGTGATGAGGCAGCACATCATGGTAGGAGCTGCGATGAGCAAAACTGTTCATGACTGGGAAGGAAAAAAGAGAAAGAGAGGGAGCAAGGGAGGGAGGGAGGGAGAGAGAGAGAGAGCACATTGGATATGGTGGTATACTTCTGTGATTCCAGCACTCAGGAGGCAGAAGCAGGAGGATTGTGAGTTCAAGGACAGCCTGGGCTATATAGTGAAACCTCAAAAAACAAAACATGGGGGGGTGGGGAAGAAGAGAGGGGAGCCCTCTTAGGGTTACCTCAGTGACCAGTGACCTGAAGACCTCCCATTAGGCCCCACCTCTTAAAGGTTCCACCACCTCCAATTACTGCCATTCTGGGGATGAAGCCTTTAATATGTGGACCTTTGGGAGATACTTAAGGTCAAAACTGTAGTAGGCTTCAACATGAATTTTGGGAAAGTGTGTTCCTTTTTTTTTTTCCCTTCCTCATTGAAACCATGAAACTAAATTGTGCTAGCTTTAAAGAAAAGGTTGAGGCAATGGAGGGACAGGGAGAGGTTGATCAAGGGGCCCTAACTTACTGTTAGATAGGAGCAAGAAGCCTGGCATGCTGTTGCACAGTAGAGTGGCTGTACATAACAATACATTGCTGTACAAAATCTGAAAATAGTCTTATGTTTTTACCATAAAGAAATGATGGTGCATGGTAACTCTAGTCTGTAATCTTAGCTCCTTAGGAGGCTGAGATCTGGAGGATTGCCTGGTCAAAAAAGTTCACTAGACCCCATGTCAACCAATGACTAGACATGGTGATCCATGCCTGCCATCCTAACTACGCATGGAAGCACACATAGGATCATGGTCCATGCCTGTTCGGGCATAAAGCAAGATCCTATCTCAAAAATAACCAACATAAAACTAACTGGTGGAGTAGCTTCAGTGGTAGAGTGCTTGCCTATGAATCACACTGCCCTGAGTTCAGCCCCCCAGTACTGCAGAGAAAAAAAAGAGAGAGAGAAAGGATAGATATTTGAGGAAACATGTTTAATCTGATTTAGTATTACAGAATGTATGCATGTGTCAGAACTTCACATGGTAACCATTAATATATACAGTTTTTATGTATCAGTTAAAAATGAAACATAAAAATGAACTTTTTAAAAATAATAGAAAATAACAGAAAAACAAGACACGTTAGGAAGACATCTAGGAAGATAGAACCAAGAGCAAACTGGGCCATGGAAAGAAAAGGACAGCAGT